AGTAGCTGGGATTATAGGTGTGCACCACCACACCCAGCTAATTTTTGTATTTTTAGCAGAGACGGGGTTTCACCATGTTGGCCAGGATGGTCTCGATCTCCTGACCTCCTGATCATCCCGCCTCGGCCTCCCAGAGTGCTGGGATTATAAGCGTGAGCCACTGTGCGTGGCCTCTGTCCCCTCTTGCACCTGACACGGCCCTGGGAAAGCATGAGGCCAGGGACCAGAGCTAGCTGGACCACAGGGACAGTGACTGTGGCTACACTGGGGTCTGGGCAGGGACTGTCAACAGCAGCTGCAGGGTCTGCGGCTCAGGAGCCTTGAACTTCGGAAGGGCTCCCTGCGACTCCCTGTGGGTGCCATCGCCCTAGGCCTGCCTTGGAGATGGTCATGGTTTCTGCTGAACAAGAAACTCCAAAAGCAGGTGGCACAGAGGGCAGAAGCGGGTGCAACCGGGGTAGGCCCAACTTGCTCTGAGGCCTTCTCGGCTGGCCAGGTGGTTAGTTGTCCACCCTAGCCCGGGCCTGTGGTCTCTCTGGGAGATGGAGCTAATAGGATCACCCTCCTAGACTCTTGTCAGGACAGCGTCTGGGTCAGTGGACATTGTCACCATGGGGCCTCCAGGCCAGCAGCTGGGATGGCAGGGGCCTGTGTGGCTGCCTCGTGCTGTGGGCTTCTCTGTTAGAAACCGATTCATCCCCGACCGCACCAGAGACAGCACGGGGGTGGGGAAGCCTGTGAACTTTGCCGCCAAGCTGCCTGGGCTCAAGATGCAGCTCTGCCCCTTCCTGTAATATCCCAGGCCTCCATCTGCACATCTGCAAAGTGGGGATCATATGGCCCACCTCACAGTTGTTCAGCCCCTCAGCCGTAGGAGGGGCGTCTGTTGCCAAGCACCTGCTGCACTCACCTGCCTGCTGGGCGCTCGGCCGATGCCCCCGACCTGCCGGCTGTCTCGGTGCGGCCGACGCCCCTGACCTTCCGGCTGTCTCTGTGCCACAGGCATGTCCGACTTCAACTATCTGCACACCAACTGCTTTGAGATCACAGTGGAGCTGGGCTGTGTGAAGTTTCCCCCCGAGGAGGCCCTGTACGCGCTCTGGCAGCACAACAAGGAGTCACTCCTGAATTTCGTGGAGACGGTGAGTTCTGACGGTCTCCAGGCTCTGGCCCAGCTGGGGCCTGGGTGGGGTGGGTCAGATTCGGGCCCCCAGGGCGGCCCCAGCAGCTCACTGCGCCTGCATGCTCACTGCATGCTCCTCTCGCCGCCACTTGTTTGGGGTTCACTGTCTACCATGTGCAACTTGAGATGCAGCAGCCAGCGCTCCTCTGCATGCCCTGTGGGTGCTGGGGCGGCAGTGCCATGTGTTGGAGTCCCTGTAGCAAGGGTGTCACGATCTAAAGCAGCACAGTTAAACAAGGGAGCACGGGCCTGGGCAGCCCGGTGAGGCGTCTGACCCAGCCTCGGAGGCCGGGGGGCTTCCTGGAGGCGGCCGCACGGCTTCATCTTGAAGAAGGGTAGGAGACATCAAACCACAGGACAGGGAGAGCTGGCAGCAGAGGGGAGCATACTAGAACCCCATGGGGCCTTTGAAACCCTCGAGGGCCGCTGGGGCTGTGGTGAGGACTGGAGCCGTGGGATGGGGCTGTGGTGAGGACTGGAGCCGTG